CTTCTGCAGCTGCTCCTCAAAGAGGTGGCCCTCAATGAAAACACTTCTCTAGGCAAGCCAGCAGGTACAGGGCCCTGGATCCTCTATGCCTGGAGGGCCCCAAGTTCGGTACAGCTATTACTGCCCAGAGCCATAGGCCCTTTACTTTCAGTGATAATAATCACAGCTCTCTTTTTCTTAGTGTTTACACTAAATGTAAATGTAAGAGGTTGTTGCTGGCTGAAATGAAATCCATTTCCTTTTTGTCTTCTAAATTTAAAAGAAACTAAACCCTTTCCTGGGATATCCCCCCTCCCAAATATCATGATCCATAAGCACTGTCAGCTATGGTTAATGGAGATAGGACCTAATTTAATAAATATTTGCAATTAAAAATGTTCTCTTACCTGTGATCATCCATCCAACCAAATAATTATATCCTCTTTCTAACGTCTTTTCTATTGATAAAACATATAATATACCTAGAAGCTATATATTTCAATCTATCACTTAGAAATGACTCTTTTCACTTACACTCCAAAGGACTTTAAAAGAAAAATCAAATCACCAAACAGCATAAATTTTCAATATTTTATTTATATAGAAATACTTAAAAAATGAAATAGCACCATTACTTAAGTTTTACCTTTATTATGTAGAACTTTAAATGTCAGAAAAATAAAACTCTTGATACAATTTCAAATCTTGTCTCAGCAAATATAATATTAGTATTTGACCATGAGGTTAAAGGCCCTTTATCATAAAATAAAATATACTTTGTTTTTTAAACTTTGCTCAGTAAAGTACATTTAAGCTCAAGTAACGTCACCTACATATACATAAACAAGTGGTAAACAAATGTATTAAAATAGAAACACTAAAACTATAGTGGTGCAACAGAATCTCTGTAACTTGCACTGAATTCTATTTATACAAATGTTAGAAAGCATCAACAGTTCCTTTTGACATGTTTATACATTTCCGTTTTTTGTAATAATATAGAATAAAATATGCTTTATATCACTGAATAGAAAATATGCTGGGTGAAGCAGATCTAGAAGATTTGTCTGAACCTATAAAATCTCCATCCCAACAGAATACTGCTCAAAACATTACACATTTTATGGTTTGTAATTGTCACAATTGTGTGATTATTAAAATAATACAGTGTTCTTTGCCATAAGGCCATACTAAAAATAAAAAGATTTAACCCAGCTACAAAAAAGTTCACTGAACTTAAATTAAAATACTTGTAAACATCTTTGCAATATGAAATATAATTTTTCAAGTCAAAAAAGAATAAAATACTTCAATCTGTATTAATGCAATTTCTCTTTAAAACTTTTAAAGGTTTTTTTAATATATAAGAGATATGTTACAGTTTTAACTTTAATAAAGCTGCAGGGTCCTGGTTGCACAGGAACTCCTGGCCCTTCCACGAACATTCAAAAAGGATCCACTTGTGTTCTAAAACGTTGTAGGAACCTACCCACAAAGGAACACACGAAACAGTCCACACATCCCATAGCACTATTATTAATCATCTTCATAATTACTGTTCATCTTTTTTCCTACTTTAAGAAAATGGAAAACTCGTGGGGTTTTCTTCTTTTTGGAAGCTTCCTATTAAGTACAGTGTAAAACTATCGTTACTAGAATGTCGCCGTTCCTATTATTTATAGAGCATGCAATTCAGATGGGAAGGTCAGAAGCTTCCCAGGCTACAGTACTCTTGGCGCAGAAATCCTGGTAAGTTCCTTTGTTTAAAAATTACATTTTAAAAATGAGCAGATACTACAGCTTTCCAAGCTCCTCTGGGATCTCAGAGTGTGAGTAGGGTGGGGTAGATGGCGGTGGGCACCGGAGGTGGGCAGGGCACGTAGGCCCTGGGGAGTGAGGATCCGGGGAGGGGACCCTCCTTCCCCTCACAGTGCGTGCAGACGCGGGCTGCCTTCAAGAAAAAATGCGGATGGCCTGAGTGACCGCGGTGTGGCAGACCGGGCACTCGGGCTCGCTCTTCTCGCAGATACGGTTGGCACACTCCATACAGAAGAGATTGTGGCCACAGGGCACCAGCGCTGCGATCACTTCACTCTCGAAGCACACAGAGCAGTCGCGGCTGCCCTTGCGCCGCAGCCCGGAGGAAGAGGAGGAAGAGCTGGAGGAGGAGCTGGAGGACGAGGAGGAGCCGGATGTGTCTGACGACTGCAGGCCAGGGAGCTGTGCCCCTAACCCATTGGCATAGGCTGCATAGGCCAAGCCTCCTCCTCCCGGGTCGCTGCGCACCCGGCGAGCCAGGTGGTGCTCTCCAGACCCCGGGGCCATGTGCAAGGGCGGAGACAGGCGCGGGCAGCTGGTGCCCGGGTGCAGCCGGCGGTGCACCAGCAGCCCCAGGTTTGCATTGGAGGGCGCGCTAGCGCCACCCCCGGGAAAGACCACGGAGGACGACGAGGCAGACGAAGATGCTGAGGAAGAGCAGGAGGAGGACACTGGGGCTGCAGATCCAGCTCCAGGCGACCGCTCGAACTGGGCCCAGAGAAGGGGCGCCCCAGGTGGGGGGGCGGGAGCTGGGTCGAAGGTAGGCTGCAGCTCAGTACCGCCTTCGGGGGAAGGCACCGAGGCGTCCCCCGCTGTGTAGCTGTACCCATTGCCGTTGTTGTTGTTTCCATTGTGGGCAAAGCTGAGCGCAGGGCTGGGGGGACTGTAGTCAGCCAGGCGCGGGGTGGCAGCTGCACTGCCGCTGGTCCCCCCACCGAAATAAGAGTCTGTGGATGCACTGCCAAGCGAGCTGGAGCTGTCGTTGCGGTAGCTGGAGAAGGGCTTGCGGCCAGGAGTAGGAGTGATGCTAGGGGTGGGCTTACTCCAGAGGCTGCCAGGCCCAGACCCGCCGGACCCATGATGCAGATCAAAGCCCACATCTGTGCCGTTAGCGTGGAAGTCGTTCTCATCTGTGAGTTCGATGATACCGCCGGTGCGCAGCGCAATGTGAGCCTCGATCTCCTCGCGGGCGCGATCCACGTTCTCTGGCATCCCAGTCACCTCGAACACTGGCTCCTTGTCACGGCTGGGTGTCACGATGTATGTATGCGTCTGCTGTTGGATGCGCTTGATCGTGGCGCCCTTGGGCCCCACCACCAGCCCCACCACACGATACGGCACCCTCACTTGAATGGTGGTCTGCCCGGGAAGGTTGGGCGGCCCTGGTACCGCGCCGTTGAGCGCCGTGTTCTTGTTACGCGAGGCTCGGATCATGGAAAAGTGCTCCGCAGCGGAGATGATCTCTCTCCTAGCCATGGCCACATCCTCCTTCCTGCCCGTCACAACAAAGACAGGCTCCTCCCCGCGAACTGGGGTCTTGATGTAAGTGTTGGTCTTCGCGCGCAGAGCTTTGATTTTACAACCTGGGAGCCAGGGTGCGGAGGAGGGAGTGGGAGAAAGTCAGACACGCCCATTATCCCGGGGTAACCGCGGAGACCGAGGACAGCCCGCGCCCAGGGCAGCTGGACGGCAGAACACGCTACAGGAGGAAGGGGGCGTCTCCCTTGCTGACCCCAAACCGCGCCACGAGCTGGACCGAGGGTTCCACTCGTGAGGCGCTCGAGGAACAGCCCATTGGCTGCCCGGCCCTCCCCCAGGGTCTGCGGTCATCCCATGCCAAACCCGAGAACCCCAGAAAAAGTCATCTGGGGAGATGCTGCTGGGATACAGCTGGGCGCACCAGCCACCTAAAAGACACCTAGAAGGGGCTCCCGGGAGGCGGCCGGAGCCGCGAACCCGGGGCGCAGAGGGACTGGGAGTGGGGTTGGGGGACTGTAGTCCCGGGACCCATTGTTCCTTCACTGGACTCCGTTCCGCTTTGCAGAAATCCTGAATCCTCCTCCCATCCGATGCTCACTCCCTCCTCCTCCCCGCCCACCCAAAGGACCATCAGAGGCCCCCTCCCCCAGCATCTTATATTTAAATTATCTTTCCTAGGGCGGGTTAAGCTGGGGGCACTAGGGGAGAAGGCAGTGGTTTTCGAAGGAGAAAGTGCATCCCGTCGCGGCTGTAGCGCGGCTACGGGAGACAGCCAGCCTGCACTTTCTTTGTCTGGTGCGCCGGCCCATCGCGCGGCTCTTCCTCCCTCCCTAAGGCTCCCCGCGCCGCAGTTCGCGCTCCCGCACCCGCCCTCGCGGTGAGGCGGTGGCCGGAGATCCTCCACACCTCTCCAGTCCCCATCCCAGTCCGACCCACCTTGCCGCCCTACGATCTCCGCGACATGTTCGGAACTGGGTACCGGCACGCATTCGGTCATGTTCACGCTCTTCTTGCGCGGCTCGCTGTCGTACAGAGAGGCGCCCTCGTCACTGTCCAGCCCCAGAAGAGAGAGCTGATCCAGCGCAAGCTGCAGGGCTCTTTGGTCATCCAGAGTCTCTCCCCCGCCGCTGCTGCCGCCACCGCCTCCCCCGCCGCCGCCTCCCCCGCCGCCGCCGCCGCTGCCGTTGCGCTCCAGGTCTGCAAACAGCGAGCTGGGCATCGCTCCGCCAGGCGCGCCGCGCCCCAGCCGGCCCTCGGCTCGGCAGCCAGAAGCTGCAGCCACAAAGGCGGCCTGGAAGCGGGTGGTCAGGGGCGCGGAGGCCGGCCGGCTGCGGAGGGCTCCGTGGCTCCTTTCTCGGCGCCCGGAGGAGTGGATCTCTCCGTGCAGTCCGCACCGGGCAGTGGCTGCAAGAGCCCTCGCGTGGGTCCCCACCCCAGATCTGCTGGCACTTGGGGTGGGGGCAGAACTCGATCTGCGGCCGCGCGTGCCCCCCGAGTGCCCGGCTGTCTGGCCACAATGCCGAGCGCCAAGCGAGCAGGCAAGCGACCGCAGCGTTTCTTTAAGGAGCCCCTCCCCG